GTTGACCAAATTTGGGTTTGAATTTTCTTTTTAATTAGGATTAGCTTTTTGAGTGGAGGGATATTTTTGACAAGAAAAACACATTTTCAGGGTTTTGTCATTAAACAGATACAAACAATCAAGATGGGTTATTTGAAGCAAGCCACCACCAAAAACTCAGTTTGAGGATTTTTCTGTTTTTCCAGAAAATAAAAACAACAATTTTCCTTACCTTACAGGCCTATTTCTCTCTTTTAGTTTTAGCTTTGCTTTTATACCGACAGCCATCATAAGGGCCTTCTCTCTTTGACAAGTGTGTTCAATGGAAGTTTATTCTTCCTGTTTCCAAAAGAAACAGACCCCAGTAAGGTCCCAGAGAAGCTGTGGATGCCCCATCCCTGGAGGGGTTCAAGGCCAGGCTGGATGAGGCTTTGGGCAACCTGGGCTAGTGGGAGGTGTCCCTGCCCATGGCAGGGGGTGGCACTGGGTGGGCTTTAAGGGCCCTTCCAACCCAAACCATGCTGTGATTCTATGATGACTCTATGATCCCAGAGTTTGTGCGTGTCTTGACCCACGCGTGTGCAGACAGACACCCGCAGGGATGGACCCTGACGCGCTGAGCCCTCCCTGGCTCCCAGCCGTTGCTCTTTCTGCCGTGTGCCTTTCCCTGCCGGCGCCTTTGGGCTAACGTGGCATTAATTAACGCGTTGCGTACCCCGGCGTGTCTCCCGTGGGTTGCAGTGGGACTGGGCTGCAGACGGCTCAGCGCGGGGAGCCCTGGCTGGGGAAAGACCTCGGCATCAAGGCAGAATAACCCAATTCCTAATGAAACCAAAACATCTATTTAAAACAGCCAAACCACCGCAGAGATGCTGAAATATTCCAATGTGTAAATACAGAAAGTGTCAGGAGCAGCAAACTGGACCCAGGGGTGGCTGAGCACCTCTCCAACATGGGCAGCCGAAGATCCTCACTCCTTGGCTTCGTCACGTCTCAGCCCCGCTGAGGACCCCGCCTGCTCTTTGAACACGTTTGTGCATTATTAGTGTTTCTTTATTTACTGGTTCTTAAGGACAAAAAAGGTAATATGGATTTATTATAATTCTTATTAATATTTTCAGAAAAATAATAAATTGATAATACACAGAAATAATGTACTGGACCCCCCAACAGAAAAGGATCCAATAAATGCGTGTTATCTACCGTGAGTGACTTGTTCATTCGAGACAACCTTTCTTTCTCAAAGAAGAAATCGATAACATGAATTTTTGTTTGAACATCAAGGAACAGCTCTCTTAATTTTAAAATTCCTTCCTATTTTTCATGTATCCCATGGCAAAGGGATCTCTTGTTGAGCTCCACGGCAGGAAAACATTAATGGGTTTTAAATGTTATCACCACAATAACACTCTTTAATTTGCTTCCTTTACATTTGAGACAACGACGATTGTTCCATCAGCAAGGCAGATTTTATGGAAATAAAAAGGGATAGAAGAACAATGGTGTGCCTTTCATCATGTTCTTTGTGGTGATCCTGACATCAGAGACAGGTATAACACATGTACAGAGCAAACAATGGTTTAGGCATATCAGCAATGCAATAACGGGGCACGGTCGCTGAGGAGTACTCTGTAAATGTTGGAGGTGCTGGATGGACTAATCTCCATCACTCCAGCCCCGTGGCCAGGGCAGGTGTTCTGCAAACAGCCTGAACACAGACCCTCGGCAGCAACCGTTCCCTGAAGAGCTGGAGACATTTTCCAGAACAGAGCTCCACAGCTTTGCAGGGCCTGAACAATATGGAACAATAAACATTTGTGGAGGAAGGCACAGTTGTGTGATACTGCTGGTGCCGCCTTCCCGGAGTCCCTGACGGGAGAGCTGGCCGCATTCCCCGCAGGGGACTCGCCTGCCCCTCTGTTAGCTTGCAGACGGACCTCTGGAACATCAGTACTGGGGAAATGTAAAAGTACAGGTTTTGTTTCCCAAATGTCAACTTTCTTTGGCGTACAGCTGCTGATGCTGGACGTGGGAACACAGCTGAGGAGCCCCCCTGACACGGGGCCAGGGCAGGGGACAAAGGAGGCGTGCCCACGGATTTGTCACACAGACCTTCCCGTTCAGTTCTAGCAAATGTGGTCATCAGCCCTGCCAAGTGATGTCCTAACGTGACTGCAAAAGAAACCAAGCTTCGACGGCAGCTGCTTTATTTATCAAACTCAAATCCGGGCAGAGGGTCAGAACTCGGGGGGTTCGTGTCCACCTCCCATTTCCACATCCCTACACACGGACACAGGCTGTGACTTGCTAAACACAGCTTAAGCTGGAGTTATCTCCCTAGCTACCCCATGTACTCATTTTGGTCAGCGTGGATGTCTGGTGGCCAGGACCCGGGCGGTCAGAGGTGCTGTGCGGAGCAGAGGCACCCAGCAAGGAGCGCTGAGTCCCCCCGTGCAGCCCCTGCCTTTGTGACCCCGACATCAAACCCCAAAGTGCTGAGAAGAGATGTGGAGGAGAGCGGAGAAAGCCCATCAGCTTCCATCAATGTCTGAAGTTCTACTCCCAGCTGCTCAGTTGGAAACATACCGCTTGTGCCTGCAGCATCTTCATGTTCCTAAAAAAGAAAAAAAATAATCAGCCCAAGGCCTTGCTGGGACAGAGGCATTTGCTTTAAAATGCTCTTTTCTTTTTTCCAGTGAGACAACACACAGTATTTCACCCCAGCAGCCAAGCTCTCCATTCTTCCCAAGGGGTATTGATGTCTGAGCAGCATGTGAGCCCAGGTGAACCGTTACTACAGCTCCAAGGACCAGCGGAGCAACCTGCCTCCTGCTCCTAAGGCAGCAGATCCACCAGTTACCTCCTTGAGCTGTCCTGACTTCAAAGGGAACCTGCAGCCTAGAAGCAGAGCGGGCAGCTGAAGACAGGAGTTGTATCTGTAGAAAGGGGAAAGCAACTTGATGCATCAAATACGTGGGATGCTAACCCACTTCCTATTATCAGCCCCATCTGTAACCTGCTGAAGGAGAGTGTGTGTAAAATCCTGCTTGAAGCAGAAGGAGCAGCACTATGCATAAATTTGGTTTGGGGCTGGATTGTGCCCTTGCTGCACATTATTTGAGAGGTGATAAACAGCTGGAAGATCTCAGCTGGAAGGGACCTAGAACGATCATCTAGTCCCACAGCCCGACCCCTTCAGGGCTGACCAAAAAAGCCAACACGTTATTAAGTGCATTGTTCAAATGCCTCGTAAAGACTATCAGGCCTGGGGCACGGACCAGCTCTTCAGGAAGCCTGTTCCAGGGTTTGGCCACCCTCTTGGTGGAGAAATGGTTCCTTATGTCAAGTCTGAACCTCCCCTGGCACAGCTTTGAGGCATTCCCAGTGTCCTGTCCTGGATCCCAGGGAGAAGAGACGACATTTCACTGCGAGAACAGATAACGGCAACATCCACAGCCAGGTTTTACCCCATCGTGCAAGTCAATTCTACAGGTTAAGATGGATCAAGAAGAGCTAAGACCCAGGGTATCATACTAAAGAAACACAACTTTTTTTTTTTTTTCTGAGTACAAACCCACATATTGAGATGTTATCCGTGTGTCATTTTACTAATCCGTGTTTCCTCAACACAAGAATAAATTCCCATAATAGTGTGTCAAATTTGTAATTTGGGTTACATTCAAAACCCCACTCTCAAAATCAGAGTTGACTACGATTGCATCGGGGTAGGTAGAGAGCAACAAATTATGATTTCAGCAGTACTAGGGGAGGGGAAAAAAAATAAAGTCTTACTACACATGCACTGTCTCTAAGAATTAAATTATGTTTCTTAACTGTGATAGTACACTTCTGGGAAGACTGCATTAAGGATACCTAAATTATTCTGACATGCCATTTATTATACTCAATTTTATTTCTGCACAATTTGACACAAAAAAGTCATTTTTATAATACAGTTTGTCATGAAAACTGCTTAGTAGAACACAAAAGAAGTAATATTACTTTGAAAAATTCAGCAGTTGTCTGCCTTTCAGCCCTAGCAGTTACAACAGAAGAGGCACCATTATTGGGTATTTTTGTAGATTACAGAAGAAACAAAACTCCATAGGAAAACAAGCATCATGCTGCTCCTTCTCAAAGCTACAAAAACAAAGCAAGCAAGGAAAACAAGTTCTGCTTTGTTGAAGGTACAACATTGACATTTGAAGCCAAGAAGAGAAAAACCTATAATTTCATATAAAGCACTTACCAGGTAAGTTTTAAAATGAAAAATCAACTTTAACACTGTTCAGGTATCCTGTGACAGAAGGAACACTTCATTCTCAAAAACGGAATCGGCGTTATGTCTTACCCTTATCGGTAACATTACTGAAGTACACTACTTGCTACTCATTTAGCAATTTACACGTGCCAATAAAGCCCCAGAAAATCTTTGTTAGGTTTGTTTTATAGCTAGAACATAAAGGCAAAACAGTTAACAGCCTGAATTCTACAACCACACGCAGTCCCTAAGAGTCAGGTCTCTGTAAGCCAGGCCAGTGGTTTTTTTGTCCCTGCACCACAAACAAGGGAGTTTGAAATTCAGGGAAAAAGCGCCAGGTTTCCATTTCTCGGTTCTTAATCAGAATGAAAGGTCCTTTCTTGTCTATTTTTGTCAGATCACATCTAGACAGATTTCTTCAGGCATAAGTCTGACTAAACTCCTACAACTCACCACCTGTTCCAGCCTCCGTGCTGTGCCCTTGCGAGTACTTGTAAAAACAGTCTGCACGGTTGTGAAAAGAGAGGGTGCTGCCAGAGATTAAAAAAAAAAAACCAACAAAAAACACAAACAGGGAGGAGAAAGCGGGTTCAGATGCACAACTACTTAAGAGAAGCAACACAGCACGTCAAGGAGTGCCACAGGCTGCGTTAGCACGTGACAGTGTCTTCCAAAGGAACGGGTGGCTAACGGAGAGCAGCACCTATGTAAGGCAGCAAATATGCTGTCACATAATTAACCAACAGCCAAGAGTTTTATTCATCAGTTCGAGTTTATTTAGACATGACAAAAGCTTGCAGAGTTTTGGAACTGTACACAGAAATGAAAACATCTGAAATATATTAGTTTCCTC